ACAGTCTTTCGGGTACGAAGCGACGAGTGGAGCGTGGGCGAAGGTAGTCCATATTCCGACGAACGCTTTCATTCCGAGGAACTCGTCGGGAAACCGCCAGCGTTCGCTCGATGCCCGATAAAAATCGTGCCACGAGGATTCCTGCACACTCTCCGTACTGTCTGGATAGAAACACCGTAATGTTTTATGGTTTACACCTTCGACGGAAATTGGATGTTTTACGAAGGCTGCAGACTTCAGATAAACGTGGCCCGTGAGGAAGACTGACTCTCGGTTCGACGCTTTTCCTTACCCTCTTCTTTTTTTCCTTCGCTGTAGCACCTTCGCCTTCGTTCTCCGACTCTGTGTTTCGTTCTCTTCTCGCACGCTTCTATTGTTTGCTCTCCGTCTTTCATCGTCCATTTTTCTTGTCGCAACGTCGAACGTTTGCGTTTGACAAGCAATTCTCGTCCTCTCTTCGTATCGAGAAGGGGAAGAAGAAGCGACGCTCTAACGCTTTTCACCTCGTAGGTGACAACTACCCTTGTCCTTGCCAGCGGATATAGTTTCCGCGAGGTAATTTCCGGTCAGCAGGCACGATACGCTAACGGTGCTCGCGCGTTCGTTCGTTGCGAACTATACTTTCGCTCGGTATTAATCATCGACGCGTTTAATAGCCGACGTTACTCCGCGCGCGATCAAAATTCGAATAACTCGATCGATTTTCGACGTAGAAGAGTAGGTAGCGTTTATCGTGGCGGAAGCCGGGAGATCTCTACTAAATTGTCGGCTTACTTTATGGATCATCCGAAGATTTATACGGTCACAACGATTAACGCCAGTTTTACGATTATCTTTAGGATAGGCGACCAGCCGCACTACGCTTTTCGTAAAAATTCGCAGCTGACACGAATTTACAAGCTAACATAAAAAGCTCGCGGTCGAAGAATGGACTCGCGATTCGCTTCGACTGTTCCCGATCCTTCGTTAATTTAGCCACGCGTCGCTTCGTCTGTCCGTTCGCGAACGCTTTCGAGCATCGTGCTTGCGACGCGACCCATGAAAACGTAAGACGCGACGATGCGAGAAATTTCGAGATTCGTCATTGAAAGAATCTGAAATCGTCGCATCACCTTTCGAGACGATTTTACGGTCGCGTAGATGGCCACTGCGGGAAATATCCGAGGTATATATGGCGACCGTTCCGATTCGTTTCGATAGTAAAATATTTCACGAGGGGCAATGGAACGTAACGTATCGATAGATGCAACAGTTCGGAAACGTTTGGAAGGCGCAACGTGTTCGTCCGTCCCCGTTAACCGTACGGTATTCTTTCGGATCGATTGAAACGAACGCGCGTATATAAAAAAGAACGAGGCGAGCATAGACTACTGCACGATGTACGAAAACAAATGGGAACGTCTGTTTGGTTGGAAGACCATCGAAGAAGGAGAGAAAACCAATGAGCCGGAGAGAAAATATTTGCGTGATCCCGAGAGAACGATCGAGAGTACGATCGAGAGTACGAAGGGCAACTGGTTGTGCTCGACGTTTCGTTTAATTCGTTCGTTCGAAATCTCCGAAATGGTTGAAATACGGTGCATCGCGAATTCCGAGACGTACTTACCATCGAAACGATTACCAAGCTTCGAAGGTACAGCACGTTCGTTCAACGAGATCGTTTTATAGGAGAACCGGCTGGAATTAACTGGAATAAAGCGAGAAGCGTAAAAGACTTTATACCGTGTCGAACACCGCGCGAGTCTTTGGTGACCGACAGCTCGAATTTCAACGCTTTCCAAGATATATTGTAACGCGACAAGAAACGCCGATTAGAATAACTGCATCGAACCGCGTTTTCTACGATAATACACGCTCGACGCGGAGAATTTTCGCGAAAGGACAGGAAATTAATGAGAATATTTCAGAAGCGACAAGACTAGAAACAACGCGAAAGGGAAATTGTTCGGATAGCGAAGCAGAGGAAGGGGCAAGCTAGAGAGGAGCAGAATCTGCAAGATGAGTTACGGGGTCGTCTGAACCGTTTACGAGCCCGTAAAATTCACCGTTCCTCATCGGACGCGCGTCCCACCGACATAGTTTCCCTCCGTCTTTCGCCAGAAACACGTAACACCCGCGAACAAATTTTTCTCTCTCTTTCGAGAGTCGTTCCGCGTTCGTACGACCGACGGAAGGACATTCTTCGGTTTGACTTCGAGACTTGGATGTATAGCTTCGCGTTTAGAACCGTTACGAACTTTCATCCTCGATAAAAGCGACCGTGAAAAAGACGATAGCGAAGCAACGATGACGTTGCAGATAACTTGAAGCTCGTTTTCACCGGGTTTAATGATCGAGTCAAGATTTGTTATTAAATGATTTTTTTCACAGTCGTATGCCACGATAGTCCCATTCGCGTAAGCTTTATTTCAATCGATACTCTCGAATCAATTTGTCTTCCGAACAAAGTCATTCGGATAGATTCTTTTCGTCGAATCGTCTACTTTATCGAGATGCAAAGGGAAGAGAAGATGGTCAAGAGTATGTTTAGTTGTCGGATTAGCAACGTAATTCATCGTTTCCCTTATCTGGTCGAGTCGACGATACGCGATAAACGTAACTGTTGGCGGGATATAAAAGTTTACGATCGAGATTCGCCAGACAGTCTGCGTGGCGGTACGCGAATAGAAGGCAAGGGTGAGAGCGGTTCAGCAGGAAGTCCTCGTTTTACGAGGCAACCCCGACAAAACTCGGCTGAGACGTCGACGCGACGAGGCGTCTCGTAGCTCGCGTCTTCCGCCCCCGAGTTCGCTAGAATTTCGCTAAAACTTTTCCGGCGCTGACTACGCGAACGGAAACTGCGACCGGGTTTTGCATACGTTATTCTCTTTCCTTCTCACCTTTCCTGTGCGCGTCACCGTCGCTGTTCGTCCACTGCTTATCTGTAACGAGAAAGAGTAACTCGAGTTTAAAGGGCGAAACCGCACTCGGCGATCGCGAGCACGGTAGAAAAATACGCGAGGCCGATTTTATTCGGTTTCGAGGACGACATAGCTAATCCGATGACGGTAGTTTTCTTTTTATAACCGGGGATACAGAGAAGATTTAAAACGAATCCTTTCCGTTTTCGTACATACATGTGCATGTATTCTCTGAAACGTTCCGCGCGACTAGAAATTGTATGACGTTCGAAAATGAATAGTTGACCGAATATTTGAAGTTCGTCGTATATTTCTCGTGGTAAAATCGACTAGTATCGATGGGAACGAGGTTACATCGATATTCGAAAGCAATATTTTAGCAATAGTTTGCTAATTATCGGTAATCAGAGATGCATGTAGAGGGAATGAAAAGTTTCGTAACCGTAACGGTCGGCATTGTAACGCCGCGTACTGTTCGGTATCGTTGCTCGTAGATTACGGTGGCAGGAAGCAACTATTCCGTAACTATTTCCTTCTGGAAAACACGAGTACAACACGCGATACCGCGTAAATCCTAGCTCTCTTCCGCCCTCGGAGATTCGCTCCTCCTTCCAACAGCTTGGTAAGCGTTTCCAAAGAGAAGATCCTACCGCGCTCCCATGATTCTTGGTAAGAAGGGAGAACGAGGTCGATACCGGATGGAAGAAAACGCGGAAGGTGGAACGGAACACGGCTCGCACGAATTCCGAGGAAAACTGTTTACGCGGGGAATACCTAAAGGAGAAGAAACGGAGAATATGACGCGGTGAAAATTGAACGTTCGAGCCGAAACAATGGAAAAGGAATGGTGTTTTGTAAGGAAAACGAGTCTCTCGTTGAAAAGAACAATGGCCAGTGTTAGAAAGGTTGCATTTTAGAAAGAAGAGGAAGGGGATAAACGCGATATAAAAGGGTCGTGAATGGCGGCATTAGCGGCGCTAAACCGTCGTCTTGGGTAGCATGGTCGTAATCTCGGCTAAGATTACGGTAGCCGCCTATTGTTACACCTCCGGGGATCGCGGAGAGAGAGACTCTTTCTACGTTTCGTTGGCTCGCATCGGCGTTCGAACGAGCATCGTTTTACGGACCAAAGAGAATAGAAAGCGAGCAATCGATCGATTCGTATTCTTGTTTCACCGTTTTACGACTATCGTTTCCGCGAACGCGACTAGCACAGTCGAAACGAATCGAATCGTTATAAATTCAACGCGATCACGATGCGAACGCAGTTTCCAAGACTCTGATTATTTGGCAAAGGATATCGCCGTGAAACGAGAAAGTTCGACGAATAAGTAGATAGACGTTGGTTCGTAGTTTACGATCATTGAAAAGCAGCTCGCTGGATAAATCCTACTCTTTAGCGCGTTTCCGTGTTTCGCGAATCTTCCAATTTATAGCGACGCTTTTCCTCTGTTAATTGTAACGCGAGCCTTTAATACCGTGCATCAAGGTCCATTTAAATTCGTACGATACCGACGCGACGCATCGAGCGACTCGTCGGTTACACGATTTATGGAACGGTTTATCGAATTTTTCTCGACGAACCGCGTTCCGCAACGTTTTACCGCCAACAAGAAATTTACGCTCGAACACGTCGCGTTCTTTTCCTCGTTCCCTTCGAACCGACGAATCCTTTTCCTCCGCTGCGGATGAAAGCTGGATGTATGCTCCCAGCTGACGTTGTCGCGACAATAGCCGGAGGCAATTTCCATCCAACATCCGGTGACGGACAGGTCGGGATGAAACTCCGGCTGTTTGCGTTTATTCCGGTCGTATCGCGAACCAAGTCGACCGATGAAAGATTCGAAGACGAGAGGAGAGAAAAGAGAAGCCTCGACTCGAGTGGAAGCTTATTTTTCATCCATTGTTTGTCCGCGTCTCGCGCTTTCATTTCGTTCTCGCCCTCTTTTCTTCTTTCGTTTTTTTTCCGCCTTTTTTAAACTCTTCGGTCGTTTATCTTCGACTAGCACGCGCGACTTTGTTTCCGCCGTTTTCATTTGTCGTTTGAACCGCGTTACAGCTCACGGTCTTTACATTCGCTTTCTCTGCTCTTGTTTGCAGTACCACCGGCCAAGCCGATAATCTACGACGCGAAGAGAAGGGACATGAGCAAACTCCTCGAAGCCTATCCCGAAGGAGCTGACCTGTTCCTGGTCTGCGAGGTACACGGAGGTGAGTGTCAACCGTGGCTTTTCACCCCCGGAAGATTAACGATACGCTCAACCTCTGGGGTTATCCTGCAAAATGCCGCGTCCTTTCGTTTCTATTCTCGCGCGTATGTACTCTACCTTTCATAAATATACCGACAATAGGCGCGTACGTATCGTCCGTTTACGCGATAACGGCTAAAAATACGTGAACTAATTTTCTCCGTAAATTGTTTTTTCAAATTGCACGAACGTTTATTTCGTTCATAACGGTTGGGCCGTATTTATTATTTTGCGCAAAGATTCGAAGCGTTATCGTTCCGGACCGCTCGTTGTCATTTGTTTCGCGAGAAAATAAGCTAATGCGAATTAATTAGCCGTGCTGAACTCCGGCTTGCTTCTAATACAACGAATAATGGATGGACGCTAGAAATTGCATCTGGCCGATTAAGGGGATGAATTATTATAAGTGGCTGAGCGTCATTTATAAAAAGCCGACAGACAGTAGCCGAGCATCCGTCACACTCCATCAAACTGCACGAACCGTGGATTTCCACGAAAGAATTCTTCGCTGGAAAAATGCAGCGAAACTTTTCGTTTCGCGTATTCGTCGACGTGTTAATTTAACCGAGGAAATTGTTTGCGCAATTATGAAAAGATCTCTCGACGTCTATTTAGAAATTCCAATTTGTAGGGATATAATCGCTTGGGGCAATGTTGTGCGTTGTAACCTAAACAAAGCCGGTATGTTATTCGAGATGCTTTAGTAGACCACACCGTATGACGCAGCTTAAGCGTCACAAATAACATCGTGTCTGTTTGGATTACAACGTACCAAGTTACTCCGACCGATTGTCCCGATTATGTTCTTTCTTTTTTTGGTTTTTTGGCTAAACCTATTACGGCGTCGAAGATCGCATTCGATACGGACGTTATACGGTAGCTCGTATTAAACAGTAACGCCGAGGTAATAATAAAGGAAACGAGCCGACAGTCTGGATGGTTGGAGCTCCGTTCGATACCGTGGCCAAAGGCAATTCAAGTTCCTCTCGGCCCAGTATGTATCGTGTATTCGCATAAATATAATATTTAACGGACGATAATGTCGAATCGTGTGCGCGAGACACAATTTTCAGAGCCGCGGATAACGACACGGTTACCAAAGTTGTGCAGAGATAACGTTTTTAACGTCGCAGGCAGAAGAATTGATATAACGGAGCCAGCTTTACGAAGGAACGCGTCGAACAGACACATCGTAAGCCACGTTAGAAGCGAACATATCGTGCAGAGTATAATATCTGGCGCGGCATGGTGCGACGACTAACGACGAAAAAGAATATTCGCACGCATAAGCAATCGCGCGTAAATCGCGGAAGAGGAAACGCGGTAGAGACGCGCAAACCTCTTTGGAATCTTGCGTACCGAACGAGAGATCCCATTTCCTGGAACCGCGAGTATTCACTGGCGCGAGGCCAATTCCATTTACGGCCGGTATTCGCGTTCTCGAAGAAAGCACCAAACGAAGTAGACCAAGTTGAAGAACGGGCAAAGGGAGCCCAGAAGAGTTCAGGCTGGTTTTTCCGAATATCCTGCCGGTGCTAGGTGTCGCGTCGCGTCGCGCGACGAATCCTGGATCCGCGCCAATTTTAATCTCAAAAGCTACCGTTCTCGCGCGACGCGAACAACCGCTTCAACGTCGTTCTCGACCAAACATTATACGCGTTCGAGTTCAACCGTTACCGATCCAATTTTGCTCGTTCGCGATAGGTAGCTCGTTAAAAAGGACCGCGAGTGTTGGCCAACGTCGTTATACGCGACAAAAAAGGTCCGAAAGATGACGGTAAACTCGAGCCGGTCTAGTGGATATCGTGGTTGACTGGAAACGCGCAAAGGATTCGACTTCGATTCCGCTATTTTTCAGGAATCGTAGAAAAGTTTTGAAGCGCACTCGATCGCAGATACGCGAAACAAGTTTGCCAGATGGTGTTCGCGTCGACGTCGTTCTCTTCTCCAAGGAAATCTGGAAAAATTTCAACGATCGTTGAACCAACTTCCGAAATGTTTAACTTTCATTGTACGTCCGATATTACTTTGAATAATGGAATCTGAAAAATTAACCAGGAGAATTGCTTCGACTCGGAACTTTTTCTTCGGTTGAACGAGCTATTTTTTCCACTTTTTCGCTTCCCCATAGAGCCGCGGGAAGGATCGCGCAACTTTCAAGTCCCGGCTATAGCTTGTTCTGCGCGCACTTTTCTGAACGCGCGATTTGTCACTCGACGATGAAACGAAGTTGAAACTTGTTTCGATAGTTTGTTCGCTCTTACGAACGTGCGCAGGTAGCGTACAGTTTGCTTTTTCGGCAGAACTCTCGAAATAGCTGAACCCGCCGCGAACCGACGACGGACACGTCGACCAAACTTTCGATAAATTTATATTTTCCTGAACACTACTGTACCGAGTTTACGGAAAACCGCGTTTCCCGTACGCCGAAGAAGTCGAACTGTGACCAGTTTACTCGAAAATCGCCGAGGACTTTGCGCGAAAGGATTAAAAGTTTCGACTCTCCTCTCTCGAAAGACGTACTTAAAAAGAACCTTCGAGAACTTTACCGACCAACTCTGCAAACTTCAGACTTAATCGAATATTTTATCTAAACTTTATATTTATGCAGTCGTTGGCACGCGGCCGAAATGTTCGACGTCAAACAACGCGTACCGTTTTCAACTTTTTCCACGTGTCATCTTTCTCGCCGTCCCTTGTAATGTCCGTATACGGTACACGGAACGAACGAAAGTTTAAAACAGCCGGTCGCGTATACGAGAACTTCTACGATAACCACTCTGTATCGTTTTAATAATATTTCGCTTTCATTCCGGGGCATTCCATTGGTCCAGTCGACGTTCCTTCTTGTTTTTTTCCTTCGTACGATATTATACGTATATTTGCGAGAAATTCGTTACTTTCGTAAAATACTATTTCAATTTGCGTTCGGTATTAATAGTACCGGAATAAAGATAACGAAACAGGATCGAATGTACGCGATAGCACGATGGACTCGGTCGGAAGCGACTAAAATTCGTTTCTTATTGCGGCCGGTCCTCCGTCGCGTAACATTATTACGAGCAAGCCGCGGAACTGGTGATATATAACCTGCACCATCCATGATACCAGGTAGAAGTCGAGAGAGCAATAAAGATCCTCCTCTTTCCTCCGGCAATCCCTCGTTCCCTTACTTCCACCTTTTCTACTTCTCCTCTCAGGGAAGCAATGAAATAATTCCCCGCGACGCACACCGGAAAGTCGAGAGCGTGTGACATTCGCTCTCCGATTCCTCCTCTCTCTTGTCCCCGGCTCTACCAACCATGCGATCCCTCGTCTTTGTCACTTTACCGACCTCTGCTCCAGCCATACTCTCGGAACATAATTTGCTTTCGAAATGAAGTAGGTCCCTGCTTGCTCGAGGTACCCGATTCTCCTCGAGAATACAATTATTCCCGCACTCTACCTCTATCCGAACCGTACGTTTACACGGGTTCGTGCAAAGAACGCGTAAAAAGTAGACTTTAACTAGAGCACGTTAACGAATCTACGGTACGATACGCAAAGCTTTCCACGGAAGATCGGCTAAATAGCTTAATATCGAAGGAAATTGCCGGTAGATCGGGTCTGAAGGTAAGATTCGAAAAGTTAACCCCAGTCTCGAGAAGTCGAGCTGCTTTAAAATTCCTGTTCAACATTTCGCTAATGGTAACTCCAAGTACCGATATCCTACGTATGTATACTCTTCTTACCGCGTGATCGTAACTGTTGCCGGATTTAAAGCAGCCAGTTACTAGGTGGTTTAACGTAACACCTTCGAAACCGATTACGCGTCGATAAGAGACAACTCTGATCCACGAATCCCTGGATAATTACAGACAGCGACGGTTCCTGAATTTCTGTGCGGCAAGTTTACGCGAATAATTAAACCAGGGAATTAGATGGTCGCGCGCATCGTGACCGATAAATTGACGAACAGACATCGAGCGGTTTCCATCGAGAACGTACAGGGAAGTCCCGTCCAGGGGCGTGATCGACGACTGGCTTCCAGCTTCTGATACACATCCGTAGACACGAACGCGTTCTCGATATCTCCGTCTACTCGAATTAGTCCAACTGCTTAAACTGTCCGAACCGACAATCGAGCTGTTTGCTACGGATACTCGATGGAGTGGTTCATCGAGTAGTAGCCTTACCTTGTACGCCACTCGATAATTTCCTATCGGAAGCAATCTCGCCTCGGCAGCGGCGCTACGATCGTAAACACTGGCGTGAACCCGATTCGATTAAGATTAAACATTTGCTTATACCGATATTTTTCAACGGCGACTTAAGCGATTATCCGTTCTCGCTTATCGCGATACGTGGCTGACGCTCCGCGTTTTGGAGATGCGCCAATAGAATAAAACGTTCGCAACCTGAATCGTAACCTTCTCGGACGCGTGCATGCATAACTGGTTACCTTACAAAGTGATTTTCAACGATTGACCGAAGGTACTTGTTTGTTCGAATTCCAGGTAAACCTAGACCTCGAGTCGCGTGGTACCTCGAGTCGCAGGTAATCGATACGCCGTCGGAGATCCGAGAGACCCAAGGGCCAGGAGGCGAAACCAACGTCGTAACCATAAGCAACGTAACGCTCAAGGATCTCACGAGAAGTCACTATCACGCGAAACTATACTGCAAGGCGAACAACACTCATTTAGCACCGCCACCCACCACCGCTGTTATCATCGAACTTCACAGTAAGTGGATACTGGGCCATTCGCTAACTCCGATTATTTCATAGACTAATTAATAACCGAGTGCCGAGGCGCGTGCGATATACGACTAAAAATTACTCGTTTCCTCTCTAAAAGTTAGTCGATTAATCCACGAAACGTTTTCGACGGTTTTAAAATCGGCGAAACTAGTGTTTCTTCCGATCGAACGATTACTCGATGATAACCACCAAATACGCTGAAATTAACGAAACGAAATGAAAGCAAGCTCGAATTTTTAACGGAGATAGACACGGCGCTGGAAAACAGACGGTAAGGAAACGAGAGCGAAACGAAACGGAGACGTTTTTCTTTTAAACTTCCCTTTTCGGAAGAATATTTTCAAACTGTTTTAAATGCAGTTTTCAGTTTGTTTTCGGTATTTCCCAAGCGGCTCTTTTACATTAACACCGCGGCTTCGTCCGGAATTACTCGGTTCGGTTTCTTTTCGATGTTCCTCGGCCAGCAGCAAGACGTTCCGCCAATTTCGTTTAAATTTGTTTATGCGCTAAGATAATTTCTTGCGCGACGAATCTCGATTTGCTGTCGTGAAATTATTATTAATTTCTTGGATCGACGCTCGAATCACTCTTAATACCAAGAGTAGAGACTCTTAATACCTTACAAAATACGAAAGAAAATAATCTTTTTTTCCATGGGACTATGTTGTATACGTATTTGTTCGTACAACACGCGGGGATATAATGCGGCGTTCGATATTCTGCCGGTCTTTCAGTTTCTCTTCATTTATCGAAACGATAGAGAAATACCGATCCAAACATTGCTATCGTATCGATTTGCTTCCGTCGTGCACCTTGGCTACACGCGTACGTACAATAGTATTTACGTGTTCCATAAAATTTAATTGAATATCGGTGCTGGCGCACCGCGTCGTATTGGCGTGTGCTCAGCTCGCCGCGATTCGGCCAATTTCAGGCAATTTCAGAAGTAACGTTATTAATGACATCGGCCCACTGATTGCCTTTCGACCGTGATCCGCAACGTCGCTTGAAAAATGTTTCAATTTCATCCCGTGGAATCTAACCGCCGCGTGTCCCGTCGCCCATTGTTATTGCCATTTTCGAAGCTCGTTCGTATCGTGGACGTTTCACGGGTGGAGGGGTTTACGTTGTCGGAAGGTTGGAACACCGCATGGTCAAATATTCCACCTATTCTCGGTTGAAACGGGATAGAAAAAAAAGGAAAATAAAGTGTCTTTTATTCCTTCTCTTGTTCGAAGCGCTTTGGTCGCTTTTGTATTCGATGCGCGATCACGTGTATACGAAACTCACAGGTGGGGTAAAAACAAGACAGGAAAAAAGGGGAAAACGAAGAGTGAAAAAGAAAAGTAAGGGACAAAGAGAGGGCAGAGAGAGAGAGAGAGAGTGGAAAAAGAAGTAAAAGCTCGTTCCACTTGAACAAGCTGGGCGAACCAGCACTGCGCGGGAAAGCCACTGCGGCAGAGGTTGAGCGTGTTCGAGTTTCGAACGACAACGATTTCCTGCTTCACGGGTAATTAGCGTCGCTAATTATTGATCGTTTCATTAACATAACCGGGTCTCGGCTTCCATGGCTCGTCGCAGGGGCAAATTACTTTTCTTTCTTTTCGATGGATTAAACGACGTTATTGAAATCTTTCGCCCTTTGTGAAGAACTAATTGCCAGTCACCTGAAACGTGCTCTTATCCCGTCGATACCCGGATAAGAATCTTGAAGGGCGGACGAGTCGCTCGAAAGCGGAGTGTCGACAAAGAAAGGAATTAAATGTAAGATACCTTTATTTCGACCGCTAAATAAATTTACAAGGGTAATCGCTCGAGAGGCGAATACGCTATCTTAAGATTTCTAATCGTAAGTTAAAAACGAATCGCTTCGAAATATTTCGTTATCATCGCACGCCATTTCGTGTACGAAATACTCGTTCGGTAACACGGTTTTACGAACGAGAGAAAAAAGGGGAGGAAACTATGCGTTTATGCAGAGAGCCGTACCGTCATTCTGGATAGCGGAAACCGTGTCAGCACCAGGCTACGTTTCGGACAATCTTCTCTTTTTTTTTGTTTTTCTCCTCTACACAATTTTGATGTACTTACTGATCCTGACAGTTTCCGGCGTTTCGAGACAGCGGTCCTGTTTGCTGTCCAAACAAAAAGTTTCCTCGTTTCGCCTCGACGCGAATTAAACGAAAACTCTTACCGATTAACTCGTTCTTTCCCATCCGTTTCCATCTGTACTAGTTGCAAACGATTTTGAAAAAACTAGGAGATCATCGATAATTGGAGAACAAATAAATTTTCCGATTCGGTGTTCCGTAAGCGGATCTTTGAAAGTCTTTAGCACGCGTTTCATAATTAACGCGAACATCTCTGATCAAGTAAAGCGTTTAGTATGTCCGAGAGAAGATTGGCGAGAGAAAGAAGAATCGCGAAGAAGCTTAAACGGCTCGTTTGTAGATTAAGTCGTTGGTCGATCGTGAAACGAGGGAACATTAAGGGGAGACAGTCTGCCTGCGCCGATTCCGTGAATCGTCGACCTAATTGAAATTTTCGTCGAGGCCGGGCACGATTTTAAACGATATTATTGCCATAGTTTGGCAAAGCCGCAGCTCGTATCGTTACGCTCTCTCATCGAGATTGTCGCTTACGTAGACTATCTAACACGATTTCTCGAGGAGTGCGCGAAAGATCCGATTTAAGTTCCGTGAAAACGTAAAGGAGAACGTTCGCAGGAAACTGTTGAAGCTCAAACAAGTAGCTACGTATCTAACCGATGCAACGTTGGCATATTTCGCGTCTCCTATCTGCTAATAGTCTCGTCGAATGTTTTTTTTTTCCCCTGAAAAAATATTGAATTTTGCGTCGAATGCCCTTGTACAGGGTAAATAAATATTCATAGAGGAAACATTCGTGCATGTCGTGTATCGCGACACGGTACACGGAAATGCCTCTACTATTTGTTTGCCGCAAATGCCACGAGCCTCGCGTTTCATAAGCAGAAGAAAATTTGTACAAAACGAATTCTTGCGCTATGCAAGATGTTTGAAAAAAGTATCATTAAATGGTAGAAATTCGTTAACGCTCGCGTTTTCTGGAATGCATAAAAGAGAATCAGAAAAGAGGATGAGAAGGAAAATATAATGTTTCATTCGCTAGTGAATTTTCCGCCAAAGGCTAATTTACATTAGCGGAAGTAGTAAAAGCATTTTGAACGCGATAACTCGCGCTTACGTGCTCTACTGTCCCGTTTATCTTGGATTTAGTATTCTAATAATCGTTTGTCCAATCGTTCGCGCAAATGCACATAACAAGTTCGTTTTCTCTAGCGGCAACGTACGTCGAAGTACTCGCAAGAAAGTTGCCTGGGATGTCCGAAGGTTAAAACGTTTTATCTCCGTTTGTTCAATTTCCGTCGAAGCAAGCTGCTTGATTTCGATATCTCTTCGCGTGTATTCCTCGAGACGCAACTGGGTCAAATTATATTTCGATTCGCGAACACTCTCGACTTAAGAGGGATCCAGTGTTTCGTAACGATTCGATCGAAAGCAGAATACTAGTTATTAGTCCGTCACCTGTTCGGTTATTACCAGCGAACCAGGTAACGTCGTCGAACTTCGTTTTCGTTCGGAGAACTTTCCTTCTTCAATATTTTCCATCGATCTTACGAAAAAACTTTCGCGTAATACGCACACTCGAATGTTTCGATTCGCGTGTACCTACTCGAAACTTCGTTACTCCGACGAATCTTGATTTCTCGAATCGCCTAACCGTTAAATCGAGCGAATTTCCCTCCCGATTTTCGCAACTCATTGAGCTTCTTTCGCTTTTTCTTAGTAAACGAACTCCCAACGAGATGCAAAGAAAGCGAAGCAAGAGAAGTAACGGCAACTAAAACTCTTTAAAAGAAGGGAAGAAAAGTGAACTTCTTCGCGAATTTTATTCGACGTTTAATCGTCGATGGTCGATCGGCACGGTCAACGTTGTTCTCTAGGGAAGACTTTACGATCGACCGATTCGTTAATTTTCTCTATTAAATCGAAGGAAAATAGAGGAGAATAGATTGGCTGGCGGTTTTTTCGTCGGACGAGATTTCTTTGTCGAAACGTGAAAACACGGAAGACAAGATTTCGCCTGCTTGTTATCGGAATCGAGCATTTTTCTCGAGGTCTCTCTCGCTAATTTCTCGCGCTAATGATAGTGAACCACTCCGTAAGAATATAGCGGGCAAAAAATCGTCGTAATTTCGAGTCGTTTTTGTCTGTAGTCTACTCTTTTCGCGTCGTCGAGTCGACGAATATTATTGGTCCTCGAGGTTAGCGAGAATTCGAAAAGATCCAACCGATCCTCGAACAAGTACACCGTGTGCGCTACGAATCCTTTCCGATACACAAATATGCAGATATATTCGATGGAAATGGCAAAAAAGTCGCTCGAATCGACTGCATTTTCGTCGAGAGAGGAACACGTACTGTCCTACCTATTCCACTTGTTAAAGAATTCCAATCGTATCGATCAACGATCCTCCAATTATTCGACGTACGCTTCGTCGCTGGTGCTTCCAATTATCTGAAGATTAATAAAAACAAAGCGACTCGAACTCGTTTTTATTCCACGGTTGCGTTTCGCGCGTAAGAATGTTAAAACCATTGATCGATTCGATCGATTCGAAAACCTGTTAAAGAGCAGCTTCTCTCTAACGTTTCATTTTTCTCCGCGAAAATTTCGGACTTCGTTACGTACTTATATCGATGCTGATATATACGATGTATATAGAAAGAATTTCTCCGCTAGAAGAATAACATTTTCGTAGATGGAAATTTGTTCGTATACCAACGAAATTATACGAGTCTAAAGAAAAACTAGAAGAGTGTAGGAACGGATCGTAGCAGGATGTCAGAGCGAGCCTAGAAAAGTAAAATGGTACACGGTAGGAAAAACTGTATTAAAATCAACGTTGAAATGGCGCTTTATCGTGAAAAAGAAGGTGAAAGAATTTATTTGCCGACATTCAAACGTGTTTCTACTGTTCCGTTTAATAACTTCGCCAGCCTATATACGCACGAATAAACAATGCAAAAAACCGTTCCTTTGTTGAATCGATCGACGCGTTTGCACGGTATTTCGCCGTTTCGTCGTTAATCACGAACGAGTACTTTCCTGCGGATAATATCGCGCAATTAATTGTTTTTCCTTTGAACGAACGGTTAGTTAACTAAAAACGAAGTTATTAAAGTTAATAAAACGTTGGAAGTTTGTAGCGGAAACACGGTTACAGTTTGACCGGTTGGTAATAACGTATCGAAGTAAAAAGGTTAAACGATTCCTGTAGCGACTGTATGGCGTTATCCGGCTCGGAGAGAGGTTGTTGGTCGTCGAGCGTTCATGAAATATTTATCCAAATATTTACGATCAATTTCTACACGGATTCCCGTGGTTCGTGCAAATAAACGATTCGAGGGAGGCGAGGGTGGTGCTGGCTCGAGTTCTCGAACCCGTCTGCCGGCCAGTCGCCTACTCCAACTCGTTAGACTTTCAAGCAGTTGAACCGAGTGCCCTTCGATTATTCGCCGCGCACCTCATCTAACCTGTTCCCAATTAACCAAGGATCGAGGAACCGAGTTTCGATGTTTCGTTCGAACGTCGAACGAACGTCGAGTGGTCATTAGAAGTCGTCGAAGAAAAATACTTCTAGGTATTTACTTATTGTATGTATGTAAGTACGTTTTCTTAACGAACCAACGTCGTCCCTTTTACTCGATTTTCAAACCATAGCGAATTACCTGAAAAAATCGCCGAGGAACAGAAAAATAAGCATCGTTCTTGGTAACGAAGGAAGGAATAACGATGATTATTGCAGCAGCTCGTCCCATAGAATTCGCTCGCACGGTAAATTTACGTTTCGACAAACTTTCTGCAGGAAGTTGAAATCTTTAGCGGTGGCAGGGACGCGCGGTCGCCTTCCACCGTATTTATCTCCGCTGAAAGTCGAAGAAGTTGCGGAACGATCAAGATCTTCTTTTCAGCGGCAAAACGAACCGTAACTCGGTAACGAACCACGAGAGAAACTTTCCCAGCAGGTGAAGAACGAAGAATATTCACGGAAACGAAGATTTCTCGATCGTTAATCGTGCAGCTTAAAAGATTCAACCGTTTAGCTGTGAAACAGCGACGAGAGGAATACCGAAGCAACGAACGTTTTAACGACCACGGATAATGACAGACAATTACGAGTCGGTAGTGAGGAACGGATTAGAATCGTTCACGGATACCTATCCAGCGAAACGCGTAATTAATACTCGATTATTTTCCCGTTGGTCAGTCCTGATCGCGTCATCCGATCAATAGCGAGCGAACGCACGGCACGGAAAAGTCAACTTCAGTTCGACGAGAATTAATTAATTTAGCGAAGGAGAATTTCGATGAAAAGGGTAGTCCTTTCGATCGCCAACGAAACTGTGCTCCTTTTTTATCGAACGTGCTCGATAAATGTGCTCGTTGGAATAAGAGCTTCGTTGGAGTCGAAAGCGAAACAACGAAGCAAAGTGAAATAGTTAACGACTGCGCATAAAGTTGAAAATATTAGAAAATTTGTGGAAAGGAGCAACCAGGGAAGCCCTGGTCGTTCAAACGAACCGGCACTCGCGAAAGTTAGCTAGACTAGTCTCGAAATCGCTTTTGGAATACTTTCTCGATGGCAAGATCGAAAAGTTTCGCGAGTAAACATACTCGTTGCGCATTTCGTTGTTTCGCCAGCATACTCCACTCCGTTTATTAAGCTTCCGCATACTTTTTTCGCGTAATTCGTTCGAGCTTTTATTTTGTTTCGAAAAATCGCTGAAATTGTTCTATCCGAGGAGGCGGATTATGATATTTTGCGTCTCGCTTAAAAGATTTCGAACGAAACGATCGACGATTGTGACCGATTAATATTTAATTAAACGTACAGATTAATCGAAAGTAAGTGTTTTAGTAAAAAGAGTATGAATCTGGTATTTCGTTGATTTCAGTGAAGCCGTTAAAAGTCGAGATCACGGGAAAGGACATGATTCTATCAGCAGGGAAGAGATACGAAACTAGATGTCAAAGCACGGGGTCAAAGCCACCGGCTATATTAACTTGGTGGAAAGCTTCGAAGCAACTGAAGAGGACCATCAAAAATGTAAGTAAACATATATTGTTTTGCGGTGGAAAAAAAAGTTCGGAATAATTTTCCTCTTTCCGTTATTACTGAAAGGCAAGTTCGGGTAGAATAAGTCGGAAAGGAAATTACAGCGCCAGAGAGCGGCGAGCGTAAAGCCATTTTAAACACTTTTCGATCGAATGGGAAAATAAGTATGCCGATCGAATCCTCTTCGAGTTAGAAATACCGATCGCGTGCCGCGCCAAGCGTAACTCGAGTGTACGGTATATTATCGAATATGAGGGTGTATCGATAGCTGGTGTCGGCTTTTTACGCGTACCACCCTGTACTTTCTCTATTGTTCGACGATCGCGGCGAGTCCAAGTATCTCGAGTAATGGATGTCGTCAGAGGAATAAAAATAATGACGTCTCGATAACGATACTCGAGAACAGGAATAAACTTCGAATGGCAAGACGTAAGATCTTTGAAAGTAAGTTCGCTTCCGTGCACATTTCGTTCACTGTTCTATCCTTGTTTCGATCCTTTCCATCTCGAAATATTCTGCATTCTTCGATTCCTCGTTTCTTTTCATTCGACTATCGACGTACTATCGAGGAGAGTCCAATTGATACCAACGGCAATACCGATGCACCGATGGACAGGGCTCGTACTCGAAAACTTGCAACTCGTTTTATTACTCGGAGAGAAAATTTCGAAACTATGTCCGCATAACTGTAAACGTAAATGAATCGTCGACAAAAGCTACAGATTATTTGGGCGCGACGTTCGCGATGTTGGACGATCGATTTTCATTAAGAAAATACCTGCAAGTTGTTCTCGACGCATCGTGGAATTTTTCCCGGCAACTTTTTCGATCGCAAGTTGGATCCAATCGGGAAGTTCCGGATGCCGCGTCGTACCGCGAAGCGAGGGAAACTACGAAAGCTCGCGTAATCCTCGTCGGTGGTTCGCTTGTTTCAAGAAACAGCTGGACGGGACGTAATTGATGTTTAAGGGGACAGAAGAAAGTTTAATCGACCAAACAAAATGACTATCGAAATAACGCGTAACTGGTAACCGAGCAAGAGAATGCTGAAAGTATCCTGTAAATTGGCTATCTGTAAGGATAGAATTACTCGTAAAGGATAAAGGAACGCGTCTTGATTTTCGAGAGGATCGTTGTCTGGCCAGTGCGAATGTTCTGAAAACCGTAGGCGTGCAGTAAACAGGAACAGTGAGACACAAAGGGGAAACAGAAGAGAGAAAACGAGGAAAAAGAGGAAGGTACGCGGGTCTGAATGCGGCAGGCGTGGTGGCGCGCCAACAACACGACTGCTCGTAACTCTCGACGAGTTCTACTCCTTACGAATTAATCTCTTGAAATTTCCCTTTCGCATGAATCTGCGTCGCGATTTTGAATGGCCACCGTGTAACCGCTCTCGTACACCGCTGTTCGCGTAAAAATAGAAAAGCGTAAGCATCGCGAGTAAATGAATACCGATATACCGCGTTACCGAAAAGCGTGCGTGCTAAACGGGAAATTGTAATAAAAATAAAATATCGAATCGTTTCAACTCCCTTAATCGTACGAGCGTTGAAATAAATCTTCCTGTTAGCCGAAGCTTTCGAATAAACATCGCTTTTCATTGAAAGTGAAATACGGTCTAAAAAATCAACGATATCCGCGCTGTTTGTTTATCGCGAGCATAGCAAATATTTACTTGGACGCGAAAACAAATATTCACCCTCCAGATATATTGAAATATTTTTGTTTTAGTTGCATGAAATTACCATCGAGATAATTTTGATACTATTAATCGGATTAATTAAATTTTACGTAGCTGCCGTTCACAATTTTGTTCGGTCCCTGTAATTGAACGCGGTACGTTCATAAGTAAGTACTGGCAACAGGCCGAACACAGGCTCGATTGTTTTAAATTCCAATCGAATAGCGCGCGAAATGAGTTATATTTTTAACGGCGAGTGCATCGGTAATCGATGAAAATCCAATTTTGAACGTACGCTCTAACAGCGTGTCGGCGCGTGTAATACGCTTTGTAACGGCATTAATTACAACGTGGTTGAAAAAAAAAAGACAACGATCCTTTATCGCGAACTGAAAATCCCTGTCGATCCGTCGTTTGTGTTACCCTTTGGTTTGCTTTCCGAAGACACGGCTCCGTTTCCCTGTTGGAATATCGAACAAACCATGAGCAGAATCCACGAGGATAAAACAAAGACCGGTAGGATCCTCGAGGAAAACTTTTCTCGTACGTTGAAAAGATTCTTTGTAAAAAGAAATCGAATGCCAGCCAACACATCTTCCCGCGCTAAAAGTATCGTTCGAACGAATGAAAATTTGCGAGCAAAGGTTACTCGTATCGCGTAGTAACTCGATCTACGTTGAATTTGTCAACCTGTTCACCGACCACACCCCCTGTTCTCGGGGATTAACCGGTATTCGCAACTTTTTCTCCCTTCGTCGTTTCTGAACTGTTTGCCCACGTGATCAGCACCGGCAATAATTTGTAGCGACAAAACCAACGAATATTAGTAAAAAAGCTCGCGAGAGACAGAGAGAGGATCAGTGGCGACGTTTCGTAATTTCTCAGAAGTGGAAAATAGAAAAGATATTAATTTGGAAATTTGTAGAAAACACCGCAAGAGTTGACGCAATGATTTATCGATGCAGAAATGTCGCGAGCGAATTCGACAGGATTAATAGGACGATGAAAGTGATAGGCAGCTTTGATAATAATTTAACGAACGCGTGTACGCAATTGCTATTCGATCCATCCGAGAACATTTAGATTGATAATGGAACGATCAGCTTCCGTTACTGGATCCGAGCATCGTATCGTACGCGGATCATACATATAATGGTACTCGAGTAGCAATGCGTGTAACTTCGACACGAACGTTTCGAAACCAACTCGGTTAACATACCGCTAACGCGATTTCGGATTACCGCGTACCGAGAATATATTTAATAACGCGGGCGAGAAACGATTACTGTTTCGAAATGAAACGTTGTCGCATGACTCTGAAGGAATATCGATTACGGTTTTAAGATAGAATAATTCGGATTCGTCGGCGAGCCATTAATGGTTTTCCAACGGGACGGGGGCAGGACAAATGTCGACGACTTACGAGCACGTTTTGGCAGACATAAGCGAAACCGGCGTTGCTGCGTCGACGAAAACGCGAACGATATCTTTTAGGCTGACTGCGTTTCAGCCGAGCGGTCGAGCGGTCGAGCGGCGGAAAGAGTGCTTCGAAAACAGAGTCGCGGATCAAAGTGGTAAATAACGTGGAATTAACGAGCGGGATTTCGTGCGAGCGTGCACAATGAAAATATTCGTCGACCGGTCTCGTTGTCGGAGCAAAAAATTCTCGTTCGTTTTGGCTTACGCGAACGACGGAATTGTGTATTCGAATCGAAAGAGCTCGCGAACAAGAACACGTACGTATGACGTTTAATTAAGACCGACTGCGATTATACCGAGAAAAAGATGCTGCTTTCCACGAGGGACAAGAGAGTATCAACGATTTGAAAAGAACATATGTATCAAAAACTTTTCTTCCGAGAATTTCACCCTCTTACCGGTACGCTGCTAATTTTCGTGAAAGCTACGATAGGAGGAAAAATAGAAACACGGGTGAGCCGGTCCATCTGGCAGACGAATTCGAGATTTTCTCCCCGTTGATGGTACACCGGTATTCGAAAATCCCCCGAAGGCAGAGGATACGCGACTAGATTTATCTCCGGAAACCGATTTTCCAGCAATGTAGCAGCGCGACTCGTTTTTCCCTGCGGATCCACGTTTTAAGCACGAATTTGCCGCGTGTTATTAGTTTCCGAGATTTTATTGCAGCTAGTTATTAGCCGCGAAGTTTTATCGCGCTAACTGACTCGCCGAAAATTCCTCTTCGCACTCCGCGACGCGATGTCTCGCAAAATATTCACCAAGAAATTTCAAGACTAACCGATCTCCTCGGTTCGAATATATTTTACCTCCCAGGAATCCTCGCAGGATTTTTTTATTTTCTTTAAAATCGATAACCGTGCGCGATATGAAAAAAAGGAGATAATCGTTGGAGAGTCGAGAACTACAATAGTGTCAAAAATAGCAATTCGGCCGATCGTCCAACACCCGGTTGCTCTCGCGAATCGATACTCGATTTACTATAGTGGAAAAGTCTGCGTCTGGCATTTTGGAAATATAAAAAGAGAGAAGAAACGAAACGAACGTGAAAACGAAACGACCGCGTTCATCGATCATAAAGCTGGGACAAAGCCTTTCCTTCCTTTTTTCGGAATTCCATAGACGTTAGCAACCACCTATGTGGGTCTATCGAGAATTTAATTTTAATTTAACGAAGGTGCAGCCGCATGCTCGACCTATTTTTTCCCCGTCTTTCTTCCAAGCTTATTCTCTTTCCCATTGTGTCCCGCGGCGAAAGAATCGCGCGGAAGAGAGGGAAAGAAGGACAAAGAGGGGGCGTACACACCGTATACCGTACACACTTTTCATCCTTGAATTTACGTGAATAACGATCCCGAAATTTCGGCAACGCCACGCGACCATAAATTCGCCGGAGATACGTTACGGCTCGTTTTCATGGCAATTTAGAATTCCTCGCGTCGCGTCGTGTCGCGTCGCATCGCATCGCTCGTTTTTGTTCGATATGCTCGCTGTCCGCTCGACTCGACGCAGCCTTCGTCTTTTCAACATTTGAATTTGAGATTTCTCCCGGTTTTTCGATGTATCGTATCCCCGTTTTGCTCTTCCCTGCTCAGCCCCTTTTCTTTATCTCTTATCCTCGAATGATAAATGAAACAAGGGCTTTTATAGCAGCGAAAACGCGTAATAAATGGACGACAGTCGAAACCGGGGAGAAAATTGGAGGGTACCCGTTAACAATGGTACGAAAACGTGAAATGAAGCGTGGATATCGTACAATGAGAGATACAAAAGAGGAAAGAATTAGGTTGTCGCGAGTTCTCTTCGGGCTACGACGATTTTCATGGAGATTTCATTCGGAAACTCAATACGGTTTCAGAATTTCCATCCCAGAAATGACGACGGTAATTCCGAACACGAATCTTCTATTGTGAGAGACTAGTTTCTCGGGTGTCGCCGTTCGAAGATCCTTTCACGATGTCCGCGTAAAATATTGGACGACGATGTTCGCCTATCGAACGACGATAACTTTGATCGAGAAAATTTTCAATCGCGATTCGGTCGAAAGAATTTTTTCTTTTTTTCCAAACTCCCTCTGTACGATTATTTTCGTGTTATACGAGAACTAGTCGAACCTAACGGGCCGACGAACTGAAAAATCTAATTCGTTATGCAACGCGGCGAGGCGCGTAGTACTTAGGTATGTATGAAAATCTGTATCAGTTTCAGGAAGATGGGACAAGCGTAAGCGTGCTGCAATGGACTCCGTCGATCGAAGACGAGGGAAAGTTTCTCGTGTGTCGGGCGACGAATCCAAAGTTACAAGAGGCTGGCATCGAGGAACGATGGAAACTGAAAGTACACTGTGAGTACATCGACCAGGCTATTTTCTATGATCATCGAACCGCGCACAAAGGCACCGCAAAGTGTAACGAATACTGCCGCTGGAAATACTTGTTCGGAATTTTCTACAGCTATCTATGTCCCATGCATTTATTCGTACCGCTTCTTTGAAATCTCCTTAAGAATTTTTCCGTGATTCGCGGCGTAACAAATCGAATTATCTCGATAGATTGGAAACTTTCGCTGCTCTGGATTTTAACGAGCAGCGAAGACGGGTCCCGGTTCGAGATCAGAATTTCGAAGAAAACGACAATGGCGCGAGCTCGGTCCTACGGCCAGCAAGTTAAATGTCTCTGGCTTAAAGGGGTTCGTGAAACAGCTGACTCTCCGACTCGCATTGATTTCTCACGGAAACGTGCCGTTTCGCGTTATCGCCCCACGCGAAATACTCGGCTACGATGTTAATTGCATCGAAGAAGCTACGGTGCTCGTCGTGTAATATCCTACTACGTGTCAGAGCGCGAGAAAAAGAAACGTAGGAATTTAGGTGGTAATTCGATGAAGAAATTAGACAGGCAGAGATCGAATATCGATCGTGACACGGATTCGAGGACACCGCTCGTGTTCGATTACGGTGGATACGTAATAAAGGCACGCTTCAGATTCTCCTTAACCCGTGGGATACTAATTCTACTCGTATCAAGCATCGTATGATTCCTGGTTAATTCGATTTCGATGAATTACAGCGAGGCGATGCGCGACATAGGTAGAACAAGCGTGAACGCAGCCACGCGAACGGCATACAGAGTACCTTACTACGAAATTACGTGGCAACCAATCTGCCACGCCGCGCCGCACAGGTCCTGCCAACGTTTACCTGCATAACATAAGCCAGAATCGTCTGCTCGCTGGATACAGATACCAGCTATCGTTATCCGTTTATTTACGACTACGTGTCTGATCGACCACTCGATACATCCGCCATTATCCCCGTTTCCGGTACCAACACGTACGCTACCTACCCTATATACCAGGGAATTTGGCTTTAGTCCGACTTACGGATAATCGCATCCTACGCGCTTCCTAAAATTTTCGAACCAAGTAATCTCTATTAACCGCGTTTTTATCGCGATGGAATAGAATGCGTAAACATCGCGACATCAAATTTTTAGCCGAACGATTAAACGTAAATACTTGGCTGACGTAAGCAATGGCTCGTTCGCGCAGTCAAGTTTATCGCTTTAAAAAATATGGTTTACGCGACCGCTGCTATAAATCGATTAATATAAATTTTTCGCGACCAGAGTTGCTCTCTGTCGAATAAACGAACGATATTAATAAACGCTTTTTCGCGCTTTCTTTATATCTTTCGCGATACATTTGACGAGCGTACAAGCAAATTATTTGGCGGTCAAAGGATACGAAATAACATTAAACTCGAATCGCTAATAAAGCTTCGATGTAGCTTCTCTTGAATCGATACGCCATACCGTATCGCGGCAAGCTACGCCACGCCGATTTCAATAGCGATTCCCTGCTGAATATCCTTGTGGCGAAGAGTCAGTTTGGAAATGCGAAATGGTAACCGTGATCGGAATAATCCCATAGTAACTCCACGGTAATATTTCCTTCAATATCGAATACGCTCCTAGTTCGCGACCCATCGTTAATACCGAACCGCGTAAACATTTCGATAAAATTTCTTGTTCCACGAAAAGTTCCACAGAGAGTTTGACGGGGAACGAGCGGATACTAGTAACCGCAAATAAGCGGTGAGGACAGGTCGCATAATCGAAAAAAGCGACAAGCTGCTCGAAAAGAATCGTAGCGTAAATCGTTTCCATGTTTTATCGTAATCGAGTCGGTGCTCAAAATGTACTCCTTAGAAGATTGAACGTTATAAAGTGGCCCCATAACTGTACAGTTTAGCGTAGCTAACGATACTGGTACGTATCTATCAATGTCAGCCACGAGCTGTCAGTGGTAACGGTACGTGCTTCATCAGACACGCCGCTTGTTCCGCTGGTGACGTCGTAACGCGTACACCGTTACAGTAACGAACGAAAAATCTTCACGAGGAATATAATCGATTATAGAAAGAGCGATTAGAATGAGAATTTAATCTCTATTTTTTCGCGTCTAGTCGCGATCGCGGATAGTCCGTTTAATCTCGTAAATTCGGGAAAGGATAAGAGAACGGTGTAATTGGCTGGTCGAAGGAGAAGAGGACAAAAAGAGAAAGGGGAAACGTCGAACGACATCGTCGGTACGACGGGGATTAACGATCTGTTCGGTGGCGCGAAAACCGTCGTCCCGAATGGAATGTGAGGTATAGCGCGTGTTCATTTGCCGGAAAGCTATTTCCTACCTTCCATTACCGGACAGTAGTGCGCCACATATTTGTGTTTCTGCGGAAACGCTAGTACACACGCATCCTCGCGTACGCGCACGATCTCTGCTCTTCTCTGCAGGGTTCGCGGCTCTGTACTCTGTGCCAACATACGGGGCCGTACACGCTCGGAAATCTGATCCGAATCACGACGATATTCGCGAATTATCCGAAACCTATACGTCTTGCTGGAACCGCGTCGTATTCGATAGCCGGTGAGGAATCGAGTTAAATTTTCGCCACGCGATAGAAGTGGATAGAGCTGACGCGAGCCGATAGAGGAAAAATTGTGAAAATTTTGTCGAAATCGCTGGCAGATTCGGTAGATTAGGAATCGATACGATCGTTCGAGCAAACTTCTCGGTCGTTCGTAGTCGAAATAATTGTCTCGTTCGCGGAACGTTACAAGCGGCAAATCGTTTCTACGACTTCCCATAGCAATCTCGTTGCAAGCGGATCAAACGCGATTCCAAGATTTGCTTGCAAAAAGAAGAAACCCGATTCCAATAGAAGGGAAGAGGATTCGGGCGAGAAAGGGATCAGCCACGGTAGCACTATGCGCGATAAGCGTCGATCGTTACTCGGATATTTATCCTGTCGCGAACTCTATTTACGATCTACGCTCGCGCTTTCCTTTGGCAACCTCTCGTCTGTTTCGTTTCGCTCGGAAAGAAGACAACGAATCGTCGAGCACCGACGTCGAATCCCGTCGTTTTAACGAGCACGACGAGAGAACGCCAACCACGAAATCTCGTCAGCTAATAATAATTTTCGTTTTCCGGCGTAAACGCGTCGGAGAGCCGCCGCTACCTACCAATTATGTCGTTTCCATTCACCCGAAACAGCCAAACTTTCGAAATGGTTTGGTCCGTTTGCAGTTAGAAATACGAAGGAACGTTGCCTGAGCTGTTAGGACTGATGGAACTCGACACGATAAAGAGAAATAGAGAGTCGTGTGTCGCGTCTAATTAATATCTACGCGACTACGCGGAACGAGCAGCTAAATGAGAAACGGATCGGTGAACGCGTGCGAATGATCGAATGAGATTCTCGCTAGTTAGTGCCGTTCGTCAAAGAGTCTCGTGGAAATTCGAGAAACATTGTTCAGTGAACGCGTACCGATCTAAAATTAATACCCCAAAGTGCTTAGACGCGACGAACGATAGCTAGCCGACAACCTTCTTGCTTTGTACCGTGCGATAAATCTATTATCATAATAGGACGTCGTTCATTACGCCGTCTGTCCGCTGCCACTATCGGTGATCTCGTTAGGACCCGGTGAATCCTACGGAAATACGTATACTGGACGGTAACGAGCGGCGATCTTTTCCCTCTTGGATCGACGATGCGATATTTCGGAAATAACGCAGCGACGTGAAGTAAACGCGCGCATATTTCTTCCTAGAGGAAACCACCGAAACAACCTGAACGTATTAACGAACGGTTCGCTTTAACGAAGCCACGCGCGCAACCTTCGCTCGACTATGTCGTATTAATTTCACGGTTGTGCCAGTTTATCGCGAAGGTCCCGATTTTACTCGAGTTTCTCTCTACAAAGGTTAAATCGTGAGAAAACGAGCAGACATTTAAAGCAACAAAGTCGCCAAAGGATCCTCTGATTTACGCGTCGTCGTAGACCGGATTGGTCTCGTCGCGACATCCATTTAGTAAATTCCTTCGACAAAGGTGGATAACTTTAACGAACGCGAAGCGTGTACTTTATTCGCCGTGTCCACGGGAGGATATGACGTGTGCGAATTATGGAAGGAACAGTCCTTTGTTTGAACAATGCGCTGTCACCGAACAACCCGGCGGTAAACCGGAAGTTGCGACCCGTCAAAGTCTCTGTAGCCAATCAAAGTTGTACGACATCGTTAAGCACACCCCGACGAGTCGGTCGCGTTATATAACGGAATAACAAACAACCGGCTTTCGCTGTCCCGACACTAACGTCGCCCAAGCTTTCGTGGAAATTTTCCGAGCCATCGACACGCGTTTTACTTATCAACGCGAAGATTATCGTCTAACAACGTCCACTCGAATTAAATAGGAACGAAAGCGATACCTAGTCGTAATTGAATTTATCGTTGATCACCGAAGGAAAAAACGGTATATCCGTTAACGAGCCAATTACGTTTCTCATCGACACGCGTCCTATCACCTTTTTATTCCTTACGTTCATTTTTCTTGGCTGGATCAACTTTTAGCAGCCGTTCGTTCGATTAAACGGTTCCGTGATCTTTTCTCGTCGAGATAAAGCAGATGATTTCCCGTTGGAATACGAGGTGTTTCGATAATGCCTTACCGTTCGCGGTAATAAGGAAGTCTCGTTAACGTCGGGATAACGACGGTAATTTTGTGCTCCGAAGATCGCGCTATAGGAATTCGTCTTCCCGTCGCGTCGGCTACAACTTGCCGGCGAAGAATGAAAATGTGATCCGAATCCTTGTATCTCGGAAGATACGTAAGTATAATGTAGAAGATACAGAAGAATGATATCGCGTCCGCCCGATGCGGATGACGCGAAAGTTTCTCTTCCCGAAATGGGGACGTTTTTACGCGAAAGGTAACTAGGAGCGTTGTAAATTCGTTCGCGCATGCTGATCCGACAGACGTATTTCGAAAAGTTCTTG